TGCCGTTTAGTTTCTACGACCAAGGAGGGTATTCTTCATTGCTACCGATCACTATTTAGTTACAGAGTACTACCCCTGGTTTTTTTTTAACTAGAAGAAAAGCAATTTGTCAGCGGTGTTTTACTAATCAAAATAAATAAAAAATAAAAGAGGCTTTTTTTAATAAAATCGAATATAAATAAATGTATTGCTCAGGAATCTGTAGAGGCTAGTAAATGGATGGCTATCCCTTCATTGATTTTAATCGTCGTCGTATCCTTTTTCGGTTTAGGTTTAAAAACCTGTTCCGCTTCACCATCTCTGTATTGGTCGTCCAATACTTCTCCTTCATGGAGGTTGATATCGTAGTATTTTTTGTGGAATTCTATCATCTGACATTCATTAATGTTCCTTCCATTTGTTTTTATATATACTCACTTTTTCTTCTAATGGTTGTATTTTTAGTTCATTTCTTATTGTGTCATTTCTTATTCGATATTCTCTACTTATTCCTTTTATTTTTCGTAAGAACGTCATCAGTCTTTGTTCTTTAACTTTTGTGGTAGTCCAGGCTTTACTTCCGTATGTATAATACTATCGGTAGTGCTAATGTATTATACAGCGTGAGTCTAAAATAAATGAAAGCGAATATTTTCAGAGGTGGTATATTTCGACTCCGGGAACACGTCTATGAGGTTTTTTTCACAAAAAAAAGATCTTGAAAATAGTGCATTTTCTTTTAAATTTCCCTGTATATTTTTCGAAAACTTTTTAGTACTGCCTATTCACCGCAAATTTTCTCACGGTATAATTTCTTAATCTCTGATATTACCATAGTCACAGCTTTTCTCTATGGTTAAAAATCCGGTGGCTCTCAAAATTTTTCCAAAAAAATCATTTTTTTCTTAAATAATCAATTTTCAAACTTAAATAACTCGGTTATTTTGGACTTACTTGAAAAATGGGAAGAGAAAATATATTTCTTTTATCGAAATCTACCAGCCCTGAAAATATTTGCACTTATTTAAGACTCACCCTGTATAGTCTTACTTGCGTTTCTAACCGTGCTTTGGTTTAAAAAAGTTTTTGCGATCGTTCCACACACTGACTGGAATTTATTTATTTTTTTCATGTTGTCATTAGGCATCTTTATCATAGTTTATGCGGCATCCCAAGAAGCTGAAATGCGATAGTTATTTGCTGTAGTGATTTATTTCTTAAAACTATTTTGGTGCAGATTCCGTCCTTGCCCCAGTGTGCCATCACTTTTGTTTTTTCGGTAGATATTTTTCAATCATATTTTGTTATTATCTTGTCTAGGAGATGAACCTACCTTTTATCCTTTCTCGGTATCGTCGTCTGGTGCTATCGACTATCACTTGGTCGTCTGCAAACAGTAGTATATTCAGAAAATAATAAACTGGTCCACATATATATATTAAAAAGTGGGGGAAAGAGGACATCCTTGACTTGTGCCTCTATTAACTTCTATTGTATTATCACTTTTCACCATCTTAATATAAGTTCTGTGATAACAGCTCTTTAATACATAAATTAAGTGCATGGGGAATCCTTTCTTTATCATTATTTTCCAAAACTCCCTATTTACATAGTCGAAGGCTTTTTCTAGGTCTATAAAAGCTGAGTGGGTTTGTTGGTTGAATTCTCGTCTTTTTTCTATTAGTTGCTGTAATGAGAAAACGTTATCTATCAATCGTAGAGCGACCTTTTCGAAATTCACTTTATTCTTCGAGGAATATATTTTCTGATATTATTTGTACTCGATTACAGATCATCTTTGATCTATAATTACTGCAAATTTGTCTGTTTCCTTTTTTAAAGATGGATTGAACAATACTAAATTGCCATTTAGACATTAAGTGTAGTAAACGGAGTTTAAGGATAAGCCCACCATTCTTGTAAAGTTCAATATTGAGACCATCTGAGCCTGTTGCTTTTCTATTTTTGCATCTCTCCAAAACATCGTTCAATTCTTCCAAGGTGAGAGGATCTACATATCCTCTGTAATTTTCATCGATATCATTTTCTTCTGTTATATTTTTGTCTGTCCATATTGACATCCATTAATTTACATTTGTTCCATTGACTTTAATAAACATAACATATATAAACATTAAAAAACTTAAGTAAAAATTAAAAACCATCTAAAAATAATCACATTTATCCAGGAAGTTTGAAGCTTTTATGTTTTTCCTCATGTAGGAATAATTATTGTTATCTGGTACTAATATTTCCTTTGAAGTTTATCATTTTAACGAAACGTCAAGGATTTATAATAGATGTACCTGTTTAAAAACTAAAGTGTTCTTGAATAGTTGTATTTCGTCATCATCATTTTCCGCTTATTCAAACATTTCCAATTTTATTAGTGTAGCCTCCCTCACCTATTTAGATACTATCTTTGTAGTTGGGCCCATTGATGTCTATCGTTGGCTTTTTTTATAGATGGGAAACGCCTTTAGGGCTGGAGTTTGGGGATCTCCCTCATGCAAGAGGGCCTAACCACTAAAAACCCATCTGTGCTCTAAGCTCGCCAATCTCGGTACCGCCGAAGGCATTTCATCAAGATTAGAGACTTATCATACTTCTATGTTGGTCTTGTCTGTACTCAGATCTTGTCTTTTTCGTCCTTCGCCTTTTTCTTCATAATGTTCCTTAACATGCCGCAAATTGCTTCGGTATTTTCATTCGTTGATGTTAGAAGGTTTCCGACGTTTACTCTAGAAATCTTCGTACCACACACTGTTTCTGCGTTTTCCCGTAAATCTTCGTGCGCGTGACACTCAAATAGTGTGTGGTTAGCCGAGTCTGACACCTCGCAATACCAGCATTTAGGAGCCTTGCGGGTCCTGTGCAGATACTCGCCAAATACTCCATGGCCAGTCATGGCTTTCGTGATGTAGTAGTTCGTGTTTGCTCGGTCGCATTTTATCCAATCTTTAATATTGGGTATGAAAGTCTTTGTCCATCCGCTATATGCGGATCCCATCGTGTCTGCCATTGCTCTAGTAATATGTTTCTGGCCTCTTTCCGGAAGGAAGTTCCATTTTTATATATTTGATTTCCTTCCTGGATCAATGGACTGACTGAAGGTATCTTAGCAAGACACAGTACCGCTACTGTTGGCCATGTGCAGTATGCCGATGCAACCCTGAGTGCTAACTTCCTGTTTATCCTTTCTAGCATGTTTTCGTAATGCTTGAAGCGCATGGATCTGTCTCAGATCGGCGATGCGTAGAGTATGGTCGAATGAACTACCGAAGCGAGAAGTCTTCTTTTTTCCGCGCGAGGTCCGATATTGGGAGTTATACTCGTCAGATGCTGGATGATGCCAGTCGTTTTATCCCTGATTTCTGTGACGTTTGAAGTCATTTGCATGCCCGAGTCGAACCAAACCCCCATGTATTTAACCTTCTTTTGAGGTTTTATAACTAAATTATTCAGCTTCATGCTTAGATCTTTTGCCTTGCGTTGTCCAACGAGAATGACCAGCTCAGTTTTTTCGGGGGCCAGTTTGACACCCATGCTTTCCAACTTATTTTTAATCGGTAGCGCAGCCGTCTGAATCTTTTCTTCGAGGATCGTGTAGGTGGATGCAGTTATTAAGAGGGCTAGATCGTCCGCATAGGCTAAGATCGTGTTGCGCAGGCCTGTATCGGTTCTAAGTATCTGATCGTAAAATATATTCCAGAGGGTGGGTCCGAGGATCGAACCTTGAGGGACTCCACACGTCATTCTGTGTTTCCCGCCGTACTCTGTGATGACATATATATGTGACAGGACTGTACCATGCGTACAAGGTATGGACTAATTCTCTTATGCTCTAATTGAGTTGCAATGCCCAGCCATGGAGTCGAATTGAAAGCGTTCCTTATATCAAGGGTGAGTAATGCCAAAAATCCTCTATGTCGGTAACTCTTGGTTTTAATTCGATCTACTTCATTGACCACCATGTTTAATGCGTCAATGGTGGACTTCCCATTCCTAAAGCCGAATTGATTAGGGTGAAGTTTGTTGCCTTCGTCTAGTTCTGATTCCAGTCTATCTCTTAATAGTAACTAGTAACTTTCCGCCGGAGTTGAGTAAACAGATTGGTCTATATATTTTGGTATGGTCGTTCTCCCTTTTCGGTTTTTCGATAAGGACCAGCTTTGCAACTTTCCAAGGTTTTGGGAATTGGCCAAACATAAGGCATTTATTCATGACTTCAGCTACGGTAGGCGCATGGTAGCGATTTTAATAATTTCTATCGGGATGGTGTCCGGCCCAGGTGCTTCGATTTTTAAGCTTGCAGGCAGCTGTAAGTACTTCTTCCTGGGAGAACAAAGGCTTTACGTCTGTTGGCGGATTAACTGACCATTTAATCCGGGATACTCGGGACAAAGCGTCGCAATCTGTTCTGTTGTGATCCTTATAGCAAGAGGTGCTTGATAGTTTTTGCAGAACCATCGTTAGTTGGTATGCTTTGCCCCACACGTCGGTATCTAGCTCATCACATAGCTTTCGCCATTTTTGCTTCTAAGAATTTCTAATTTTAGGGCTTTCTTAGCTAGCCTATACTCTTCTCTGGCACTTTCCACCTTAGCTGGGTCGTGTACTTTAAGTCTTGTCAGAGTACGTCTACGTCTAATACAGTCGTTCCTTTTGGTGATAATTGCGTGGTTCCACCAGTATACCTGTTTTCTGCCTGGTTGCCTTTTATTTAGCAGAAATGTGTTTCCTAATTTTCTGAAACATTTATCCAGTCCTTCCGGCGAGAGACACTTCATCTTGAGGCCGTGTTCCAGGCAGTAATGTTGTATATTTAGTAGTCCGTTGGTGGTTATTCGCCAAACGTGCTTAGAGGTGTTGGTTTTAGTTCCCTGTGTATTTAGGACTACATCGAATCTAATGTATCGATGGAGAGAAATGTTCTCGATGTCTTCGACTACACGCTAGTTTGTGATTACTAATGTTATTAGTAGCGATGGTAATATCTATAAGGGACTCTTCGTTTGCGTTCATAAATGTGGGGTATGGCCTCGATTAATGACCACGAGGTCATTACTGGCTAACCATTCTTCCATTATTCTTCCTTTTTCATTTTCAACCCGAGAGCCAAAAATCAGAGACTTGGCGTTAAAATCGCCCGCAATGATGGCTTCTTTGTTCTTTGTTCGGACGATTGTTTCTATCTCGGTCAGTAGCTCTTTTATAAGTTCACTAGGCTTATTGGGCGAAAAGTAACATGAGAACATTAACATGTTAGTAAATTCAATACATACATACCCAGGACCAGGGATATAGTCCAAGACGGAACACTTATTATCTAGGTTTGCCCGTAGAAAGATATCACCGTTTTTGTAACAGATGTTGTTCTTTTTTGCAGTCACATTGGGTTCTTGTCCCACTATCAGATTAATGTTTTCGGAGGGTGCGTATTGGAGCAGCAGGTCGTATGCAGCTCCATGCCTGTCGATGTTTATTTGTAAGACCGAGAGAATATGCTGGCTTCTTCACCGACTTTGATGGTTGCGGCTTCAGAGGCGAGGCATTTGTTACAGATCTTGGCATTGTAGCCTCCAGAATGACAAGGTCGGCAGCAGGAGACTTCGGTGTACTATCTTCAGCGCTTTGTTCTTTACCTGTGGAGCTCTTATCTGGTTCCTGTCCCAGTGTGCTACCGTTCGATGTATCACTTGTAGAGGGTGTATGTACTTGCTTTTGTCGTGGAGTCTCCTCTGAAACTTCGTCCTTGTATGTTAGGCTTTGTGTTTTCCTTGCCTTCGTAAGCGCTTTTCTGAAGGCTTTACATTTGCCGCTGTTGGCCGTGTGGCCTGATGTATTACAGACTTGTCTATCGTTGGCTATGCGAGCCGAAGGTATCCCTGCTAATTTCCTAATATCTTAGGTTCAGTCTTCTTCTAGGTCTCTTAATCCCTAGTGGGTACCATGTTGTAATTTTTGTGGTCCATTTTTTGTCCGTCCTTCTTGCCAGGTGTCCTGCCCATTGCCACTTGAGGGATTTGATTCTGTAGATGACATCTATTACCTGGGTCTTTTGTCTTACCACTCTATTCTTTTACAGTCTTTCTTGGTTATTCCGATATTTCTTTCCATTGAGCGTTGTACGACCTGCGGTTTTCTTATGATTTTTAAGTGTTAAGTGTTCAGGTTTCACATGCATAGGTCATAGGTCATGACTTGTAGTACACATTGGTCGAATGTTTTTTCCTTTAGATAAAGTGGCATTCTAGATGAATAGTTTATATTCGTTAGAAATTTTTTGTTCCACTTGAAAATTTGTAATAAAAAAAGTAAAATACCACTGACAAATTGATTTTCTTGTAGTGACGAAAAAGCCTGAAGTCTTATCAGGAAAATTAACTAGTATTCACGACTTTGGTAGGTAGCTATTTGATATAAAAAATAAAAAATGAAGTGAAATAAAAATATAAGAAAAATATAATGCAGAAAAAAAAATCAAAACAGCTAACAGCAAGGTTCTAACAAGGACAAAATTAGTAATGCAAAAAAGGTAAAAGATATCAGTAATAATTCAAAACTATAAATGTAAATGCTTTCAAGAGATATTAATACGTTATTTCACAAAAGTAGATCCTTAGACAGCTATAACTTACTTTTTATGTAATATATAGGCCTATATCGTATAATTTACTATAGTTATTAGTGGATTTAAGATGTGCTAATTAAATTAATTATAAAATATTAGATCAAATTAACAGAAATAGGTATACGCAGCGTATTGCTGAAAGATTTTAATCTAAATAGATAACCACATTAATTCTAATCCTGTTTTATATTGTGTAGTATGAAAGATGACATAATTTAATAAGAGATAATACTGATAAACGTCTCAATGAATTAATATGCTTATACATCTACAATTGTTAAATAATAATATTAAAGGTTAATTACTTATTTCATTAAATTCAAAAAATGTCACATATTGAGCGTATGATGTCCATTTTTATTCATTATTTTAAACGAAAAAAAAATCCATAGAAAAGTCGGACTGGCCATATAGTGGAGGTGGCATTTGCTAGTCGGGCTCCAGCCTTCGCATTTTTTAGTAAAATAATTTCCTTCCAAATTATTATCCCATCAACAAATTTAAAAAACATTTTAATCTAATGCATATACACTTCTTCTGATATTTATGCATTAGGTTCAGGCCTTGTGATTACACATCTTTTAAAGGTCACTTTGGCAATCTACTCCCTTCAGGTCATTTTGAGATGCTGTTCATTATTAAATATGACGTAATAAAAAAGGTTATTAATCAATCATCAACACTATTTTTAAACTAGCTGACCTGGCAAACGTTGTTTTGCCATATAAATTATTCCTAGGATTATTCCTAAGAGTATTCCTAGAATTATTCCTAAGATTATTCCTAGGATTATTCCTAGGATTATTCCTAAGATTATTCCTAGGATTATTTTTTAAAATTGTCCAAAAAATAAAATAAAAATTTGGACTGGACCACCCTTATCACTTAAGGGTATAAAAAATAGATAACAAACTATTATCAGACCTTCTGAATATACATACAGGGTCCGGCAATAGTGCGTCGGGCATCTGTAGCTCCTCAAATAAAAAACTTGAGAATTTTGTTTAAGTGCAAATCTAAAGTATGTACTAGGATGTTTTTCAGGAAAATATTTTAACTTCTATAGGGTGGCTCAAAAAAGTGTGAGTGGATCAGGATGATTTTTTTTAAATGGAACACCCTGTATATTATTGTATTTCTGGCTTCCTCTCGGATCACTTTACATAATCCTGAGAAATGAGTAAATATATTGCGATAGTTTCAGAGATATTAATAAATAAATGAAAAATATATATTTTTCAGCCTGTCTTTAAAAAAAATATTAAAAATACAAGAACTGTCCTGAAACTAAAACTATATCAGGTATTTACTTTAGAGGGTCTGTAGTTACTTTGCTCTAATTATGGTAGTGGTAAATCATACAGGGTGTTTAAAATTTTACGCCAAACTTTCTGAAATATAGAATAATTTTCCTTTCTTTTTTTAAATGGAACACCCTGTATATTATTTTTTATTTGATGGAGAGTTAAAAAATGAACATTTTTTGTATTTAAAGTATTTAAAAATTATTAATGGTTTCACAAATACACGCAGTATTATTTCATATGGCGCTTTCAACGGCAAATTACGAGAGAAAATTCATTAGGTGGATTTGATAAAAATTTACTGTAGAAAATGCCATATGAGGATATAAAACCGCAATTATCTACGAAACCGTTAACAATTTTGAAATACTCTAAATACAAAATATGTTCATTTTTTAATTCCCCTTCTAATAAAAAAAATAATATACAGAGTGTTCCATTTAAAAGAACGAAGAAAAATTATTGTATATTTTGGAATGTTTGGCGTAGAATTTTGAACATCCTGTATGATCTACGATTACCATATTTATAGCAAAGTTAGTACAGACCACCTAAAGTAAATACCTAATATAGTTTTGATTTCAGGAGAGTTCTTGTATTTTTAATATTTTTTTAAGAAACGCTGAAAAATATATATTTTTTGTTTATTGATTAATATCTCTGAAACTATTGAAATATGTTTACTCACATCTTAGGATTATGTAAAGTGATCTGAAGGGAAGCCAAAAATGCAATAATATCCATTTAAAAAAAGTCATCCCGATACTCTCAAACTTTTTTGAGCCACCCTATAGAAGTTAAAATATTTTCCTGAAATTCATCCTAGTACATATTTTAGGTCTGCACTTAAACAAAATTCCCAAGTTTTTTATTCTAGGAGCTACAGATGCCCGACGCACTGTTGCCGGACCCTGTATAAAATTTCATCAAAATCGGTCAAGCCGGTTCCGAGGAGTATGGTAACAAAAACTATGACACGAGAATTTTATATATTAGATTAACCAGATACGGAATTAATATTCTTTCATATTAAGAGAGAAAAAAAAACTCTAAATGAGATTTTCATTGTGTTTGAGCTTTTTGTGAAGAAAAGAGATTTGAGTGCAGCTGATGTTATAAAATAGCGAAACTGCTTGACTGGTTAGAAGTCATATACCAAATTCAAAAAGTAACAAGAAAACCCAATATACAATGTAAAGAACAACTTGTCTGGTAAGTGACTAAACGCCATTTTATTGTTTTGCGTAATGTCCTGTCATAAAACTGATAATTTATGGGATATTTACAACGTATTGTCATTGGACCTCAGCCCAACGCATATACTGTTATCTGATGGCCTTTTTACTGTACACGTTCAAGTTAAATTTACAACTTAAGTGCAATTTTAAATTAGCACTATAAGAACTAATGGTAAACTGTATGTAACATAATTCGTACATGCGTTGCCACATTAAGGATTCTGTTACTACTTATTCGTCTGTAGTGATAATAATTCAATCAATTTTCATTCATTTTCTTGCCGTTTATGAAGTATTATGTATTTAGTATTGAAGTGTAAAATTTAATACTAAAATTACGAATATTTATAAATAAAACACGTCACCTATTATTTTAGAAACTTAAATAGTTAAGAAGAATTTTATTACTATCAGGGAATATAATATGGACACATATAGAGGTTGTTAATTTGTTTATTGCTCGCGGCAAGAGCTTTATGGTTGAAATCTGGCAACTTCGGGACTCGACGGGACGAGTCGGCAGCTTAGCTTAGTACTCATTTGGAATTGGATGGGTGAGAAGCAGTGTTGTCACTCGGTTCCCCAATAAGTAACCGTCCCGTTAACAATCTGTATACCCTGCTGGTGTAAGGGGGTGTAAGGGGCGAGGCCAAGGAAAAGGTCAGCCCAAATGTCAACCTTACCTGCTCGCGTGATAATCTCGGTTATCCGCTGCACCCTGCTAGATAACCAACGAGGCTCTAACGACCGAACGGCTGCCGGAATAAGCAGCCCCCACTTTTTGGCCAACAGCTTCGAGTGAAAGAGCCAGAAAATGCAAGGGCACTCTTTTGTCCTTGGGCTGAGAAATCAACTCAAAAGGCGGATGAACTGCAGCAAGTAGTGAACGGCATAAGGATGACCCAAGACCAGAAATGCCAGCCCTAGTAGAGGGTGTTCCTTAATGACATGCTAATATTTAAAGAACCGATTCTTGGACCTATTCTAAGAAAAAAACTTCATATAATATGTCCTAAACATGTTAACTTTTCAGATGTAGGGTGGTGAAATTTTGTATTTTTTTTCAAAATATCCCCCCTAATGGTATATTTGATACACATCTTCCATGCATCAAAATGCATATTTTGATATTGAAAAAATTGTTTTATTTCTTTCCGCCGATGCAGAAATAATTTCCACGCAACAGTTACCGCATCATATTTTCAGCGAATTGACCCTGAAATAAAAATTGATGACTTGAATTTTTTTAAGCAAAAACTATGCGTCGAACTAAAAAAATCAAAAAAATTAAAAATGTTTAGAAATTCTTAGGGAGTCAGGGGTGTACACTTTTTCTCTCCAAAATTATTGAATGTAAAACTCGTATGGATGGCACTGGTTGAAATAAATAAAATACAAAGAGTACACCAGAAAAGGTATTGTAATGCATAGAAGACGTGTATCAAGTTTCATAAAGGTATCTGTAATAAAATCAGAGTTGTTATAAAAAAGTTTTTTTTAGAAAAATTTACCACACTGTATCTTAGAAATTAAGATGTTTAGGACATACATTCATATGAAGTTTTTTCATTAGAATAGGTGCAAGAATCATCTCCTTAAATATTAGCATGTCATTAAGGAACACCCTGTACAAATGTATTAGCGATGCTTTAGGAATTATTTCTTTGAATGTGGTAGAAAATGATTCAGTATTAAAACTAAAAGAATTTGGGACCTGTCAATTGTCAACGACAACCATTGTCCATATTTATTTGGCTTGCACAACGTTACAGTCAGAAGCATCACTGACCATTATCAAGTGTGAACTAAACTAAATTCTAAAACTACAGAGCTTATACAGGGTTGTTCACCACATACGACACGGAGTATTGAAGCTAAATGATTAGATTTTTAAAAATTGTAAGTTTTGGGTTCGTTGAAGGACTACTACAGCTACAATTTAAAAATATTTTTACAAGATACAGAGTGTCCCAAATAAATAAAAAATAGCAAAGTTGTATTTTTTTAAATGGAACACCCTGTATATTATTACATTTTTAGTTTCTACGATTAAAATAAAGGTAAACTTGATTAAGGCTTATTACACTTAAACATTACCGTTTTTGAAATATTTTCAATTTTGTGAAATTGCAGTAAAAATTTTAAGGCTTCTTCTCCAAGGGTATCAAAGTTTTTAATACTAAATATTTACTGAAGTCTATTTATTGATCAGTTATTGTGTTGCAATAATAAAAATACTACCTCATACAGAGTGTCTAAAATTTTATTTTAAATAATTACTAGATTTAAACGGCAATAACTTGTTTAATTTAAATGGAACGCCCTGTATATTTTAGGAGAATCAGGTGCACAGTTTAATTGTCTATCAAATTGTATTATACCACTCTTTACCTATCCCTTCAAGTTTTCGTAGAAAATGCATTTTCTTATAATTTAGACCTCATTTAACAATATACCCATGGAATATTGACATTTTAGATTATTTTTAAAGTAACAAATGTACAAAATGTATAGGTTAGTTATATTATCGTTTTTTCCAAAATGATAATATTACTAGCCCTTATGTATGCAAAAAGAGAACTATTTAAGTCTTTATAAAAGAGTATACCATTAATTAAATATACCACCATTATTTCCGCCCAAATACTAATTAATTGCATACTTAATTATGTTCGTTAATAAATTATTCTAAATAAATGTGGATTTGAATCAGAAATCAATATAATAATAAATTATGAAAATGAATGTCTCTGTTGTATATAGAAAGTATAGTTTTATAAATAAGCATTTGACAAAAAATGAAATATAATTTTTAAGGTGTTATTGTTTACCACACTGTCTAATACACATAGAAAATTCAGTTTTTTAGTATTTGGAGAATTATTAATCAACGTAAACAGTAAATTAATGTAGTTTGAATACTGGAATCATATTAATTGGTCCTCTTTAACAAATATTTAAACAGTTTTTTTTTTATTTCTTAATGAAATAAACAAACTATATCGACAATATTAGTATCTGTACTCTTTAAAAATTTGGTACATCTTTAAAAATAATCTAAAATGTTAGTATTCCATGGGTATATTGATAAATGAGTTTTAAATTACAAGAAAATGCTTTTTTTACGGAAACTTGAAGAGATAGGTAAAAAATTGTATAATACAGTGTGATAGACAATTAAATTGTGCATCTGATTCTCATAAAATATATATGTTCCATTTAAATTAAACAAGTTATTGCCGTTTAAAGCTTGAAATAATTTAAAATAAATTTTTAGACACTCTGTATGAGGTAGTATTATTTGTATTATTGCAACACAATAACTGATCAATAAATAGAATTCAGTAAATATTTAGTATTAAAAACTTTGATACCCTTGGAGAAGAAGCCTTAAAATTTTTACTGCAATTTCACACATTTTAGGTGTGAAATTGCAGGTTTAAGTGTAATAAACCTTAATCAAGTTTACCTTTATTTTAATCGTAGAAACTAAAAATGTAATAATATACAGGGTGTTCCATTTAAAAAAATACAACTTTCATATTTTTTATTTATTTGTTTGTATCTTGTAAAAATATTTTTAAATTGTAGGTCTAGTAGTCCTTCAACGAACCCAAAACTTACAATTTCTAAAAATCTAATCATTTAGCTACAATACTCCGTGTCGTATGTGGTGAACAACCCTGTATACTAGACTCGAGCATTCACTCGTGAATAAGTTGGGTGCAGTCAAGCATAAAGTTCTCCACTAAGAATACCTACATTGGAGCGTTTTATGAATCGTTGCCGTATTGTTGAAATTTCCATACTTGGATTGCTAAAGATTTTATTATTGTTAGAAATGAATACGGGCTCTTTAAATTTGCGCTTGTTCCAATGGGGTTCTTTATGGACAGCCCGGGCTTCCGACCATTTTATGTTGTGGTGCACAATTGATGCATGGACCACACATGATCTGCAATGCTCGACTTCATTGTTTTACCTCTTTGCGTATGTTTTTTATGTTCGTCAAGTCGTACATGTAGAGGACGTTTTGTCTCCCTAATATTATGTATATCCACTCATCGCACTCTCAAGGTAACCGAACCTTCAAAAAGAGGGGTCCTATATGGTAGGGAATTGTAAGACTGTCCTTTGCTTTAATATTAACACTGTTCGCGTTCTTTCTAAGTCGTTTTTTTTTTCAAATAGTAAGTCGGTTAGTAATAATACCATGATATAGACTCAGCAGTGTGCCCAAACGATGTCTATTCTTCACATTGAGCGACTCCAATTCTCGAAGTTTATGCGAAACATGGTCAAATTTTTTTAGATTAAAAATATACCTTAAACATGCATTCTGCACTTTTCGTATTCGAAACACTTCACGAGTGTATAAAGCTTGCAAATACAATGGAGCAAGTTAGCCTTGAGCTTATTGCTCAGGTAATAACAGTGAAGATACAGTGGTCTCAAACCAGCATATGATTTTTGAATGCAGGAAGATACATGCCTGCTATAGGTAATGGATCTGTCTATTATAACTCCCAGATTTTTCACCTGTTTGACTACATCCAGAATGGCACCATTAATTGATAACTTAACCTCGCCGAGGAGATCCTGGTAATAATTTCTGCCTGCGAACAACATCACTTTTATTTTTTGAAGGTTTAATACTAAGTCGTATTTAATAAATTGAAGATATATATTATTTCATTAAGAGCAAGGCCAAAATCTGTCCTAGCAAAAGACGTATATATCTGCGTATTATTAGAATAAGCGGGCGATGTGTATGGCAATACCGGGCTTTATTTATTATTTGCGAAGTATAAATACAAAACAGAAGAGGCCCCAATATTGAACCCTTACGCACTCCCCATCCTAACTCATTATTGAATCTACATTGCTTAAGCAATCCGGTATATCGTTGTTTGCAGCCAATTTACCAATATTAAAATCCCTCATTTTTTTCCAGACTCCTGGTATTACTATAACTGATGTATAAATTTCGAAAATAAGCCCTCTTTTCCTGCTTCACCGAAGCTGTAATAAGATTCCTCCAAACTCCCAAATACTAATAGATTTTTTTAAATTTATATTTTAATTTGTCTCTGGTTTTCAAGGAGGTTCTTTTGAACAAGATGATTCGGACAGAAGATTTCGACGACATCTAAGATGTGATACAAAATAATATTGGAATTACATTAACGGACACAGCTATCACTGTCAAGGACCTTCTCGTTGGAAAAGTATAACTAGTTAATATTTCTTTGTAGAATCCAGTTAAATGAATTATTTTGCCTTACCTGCTTTCCTATGGCTTGTAAAAATTCCCGATTTTCGCCACCAGAAACCTCCCTAATTATCTCCCGAAACGAGGACCAGATCGTCGTCGGCATCGCAGACGGCCATGCCTATGACGGGACCAAAAGAGACAGTCGTTTGTCACGGCAAATCGGCCGTAGCGCGCGCGGCTATCTTGTCTGCTCAGCTGTTTAGCGATGCTCGTATGTCACTCATTTCCGATGCGGAGCCTTCTGTGATGTTTCTGCCGGGCGGCTTGTTATTGTTATTCCGCGTGCAGCAAACGGCGCAGCGCACGCTACGTTACAGACGTGGCAATTTGTGTATTTAGCGGTCTGTTTGATTATAGGGCGCCGATGGTGATGCGTCTCGCGATATGAATCTGATTCTCGATGGTGTTGCCGAATAAATGCCGTGCTATAAGTGGTATATTTAGCTTTGCAGTTGTTCTTATTTACATTACATATGTGAACAAAAAGAAGACATTCCGTTTACATATATAAGGTGACAGAGAAAGGTCATGTCTGTTATGAGGGGAGATCATTTACTCCTTGGTGGTCTGTATCTACTACTTTCACAATACTTTCAGGACTTAGTTTCTATGAGCTAGATAAAAGGCGCCGCCCTCTAAATAAATTAATTACCATTGCTTACCGACTACCATCGCCCAACAACAATTTTTTACACCAAAAATATTTGTTGAGATTTTAATACTCTATTTGACAATGGGATAGAAACATTATTTCATTAACTCTTTAATATTTTATTAACTTAAAGAATTATATTAACTCCTCGGCGTTAGAGAATGTTAGGTTAGGAACCTTCACTCGGAGGCATTGGGCCCATTGCGATACACCTGTATTGTTGTACCAAACCTTCCTCTCATTCTTTCTTTGCGTTAAGGCACTTCCCGATGTCACTGATGTTGGCTTCTGCTGCTTCCTCTAGTCAATCCAAAAGACCTTGCACTAAAGTTTTAAAGCATCGGTATTCCAGTGCCGGACAGTGGCACAACAGGTGCTCTATGGTTTCTTCTTCCACTCCACATTCTCTGCAGTAGTCGTCGTTGGAAATCTTTCAACTCACGAGCTTTGCCCCCGTGAGACAGTTTAGAGTGATGACACCTAAAATTATGCGTACTAGGTTCTTTTTATGCTCTAGTACTTGTTTTGTCTTTTTGCTATATACCGCTGGCCATAGTCGTCGAGCTGTAGCGCAGTCCTCACGGTATTACCACGTCTCTTGCTGCTTGGCCTTGATGGTTCCTATAGCTTCCTTCAGTATGTTGATGATCACAAGTGGTGGGTCATCTGCCACGGCCTCTCCCCTGGTCCCCTCTTTGGCGAGTCTGTCTGCTTCTTGTTTGCCCACCACATTGCTGTGACCTGGCACCCAGCACAGAGTAGCCCCGACTTGACGCAGCCAGGACAGTGTTTCTCGGCAGTCCATCACAGTTTTCGATCTCACTGATTGCATGGTAATGCTTCTTAAAGCGCCGAAGCTGTCAGA